AAAAACAGACAACTCTTCCCAACTGACTCCCCCCAACAACAGACAACCCTTCCCAACTGACTCCCACCAACAACAGACAACCCTTCCCAACTGACTCCCCCAAACAATAGACATCCCTTCCCAACCGACTCCCCCCAACAACAGAAAACCTTTCCAAACTGAATTCACCCAACAAGAGACAACTCATCCCAACTGACTCCCGCAATGACAGAAAACCCTTCCCAACTGACAGCCCCCAACAACAGACAACCCTTCCCAACTGACTCCTCCCAACAACAGACAACGCTTCCCAACTGACTCCTCCCAACAACAGACAACCCTTCCCAACTGACTCCCCCAATGACAGACAACCTTTCCCAACTGACTCCTCCCAACAAACATCCCTCCCAACTGACTCCCACAATGACAGAAAACCCTTCCCAACTGACTCCCCCCAACAGCAGACAACCCTTCCCAACTGACTCCTCCCAACAACAGACAACCCTTCCCAACTGACTCCCCCCCAACAACAAACATCCCTCCCAACTGACTCCCCCAATGACAGACAACCCTTCCCAATTGACTACTCAAAACAACAGACAACCCTTCCCAACTGACTCCCCACAACAACACACAACCCTTCCCAACTGACTCCTCCCAACAACAGACAACCCTTCCCAACTGACTCCCCCAACAACAGACAACTCTTCCCAACTGACTCCCCCAAACAATAGACAACCCTTCCCAACTGACTCCCCCCAACAACAGGCAACCCTTCCCAACTGACTCCCCACAACAACAGACAACCCTTCCCAACTGACTCCCCCCAACAACAGACAACTCTTCCCAACTGACTCCCCACAACAACAGACAACCCTTCCCAACTGACTCCCCCTAACAACAAACAACCCTTCCCAACTGACTCCCCCCAAAAACAGACAACCCTTCCCAACTGACTCCCCCCAACAATAGACAACCCTTCCCAACTGACTCCCCCCAACAACAGGCATCTCTTCGCAACTGACTCCTCCCAACAACAGACAACCCTTCCCAACTGACTCCCCCAACAACAGACAACCCTTCCCAACTGACTCCCCCCAACAACAAACAACCCTTCCCAACTGACTCCCCCCAACAACAGACAACCCTTCCCAACTGACTCCCCCCAACAACAGACAACCCTTCCAAACTGAATTCACCCAACAAGAGACAACTCTTCCCAACTGACTCCCCCAAGAACAGACAACCCTTCCCAACTGACTCCCCCCAACAACAGACAACCCTTCCCAACTGACTCCCCCCAACAACAGACAACTCTTTCCAACTGACTCCTCCCAACAACAGACAACCCATCCTAACTGACTCCCCACAACAACAGACAACCCTTCCCAACTGACTACCCCCAACAACAGACAACCCTTCCCAACTGACTCCCCCCAACAACAGACAACCCTTCCCAACTGACTCCCCCAAACAATAGACAACCCTTCCCAACTGACTCCCCCCAACAACAGGCATCCCTTCGCAACTGACTCCTCCCAACAACAGACAACCCTTTCCAACTGACTCCCCCCAACAACAGAGAACCCTTCCCAACTGACTCCTCCCAACAACAGACATCCCTTCCCAACCGACTCCCCCCAACAACAGACAACCTTTCCAAACTGAATTCACCCAACAAGAGACAACTCTTCCCAACTGACTCCCCCAAGAACAGACAACCCTTCCCAACTGACTCCCCCCCAACAACAGACAACTCTTCCCAACTGACTCCCCCCAACAACAGACAACCCTTCCCAACTGACTCCTCCCAACAACAGAGAACCCTTCCCAACTGACTTCCCCAACAACAGACAGCCTGTCAGGGATCTCCTCGATCCCCGCCGCGATGGTCCCGGCGCAGGCGCAGTGCACCGCCCTGTGCAGGGACCCAGGCACTAGGTCCGGGCCGGCCGCGGCGTTCGAGTTCGCGCATGCGCAGTAGAAGCCGCCCGCTGGGCACCAATGGCAGCGCAGGGCGGGATATTTAAATGGCCCTGAGCTGTCATTCAGTGCCTTCTGGTCTTTCCTGCATCCTGTGATTCTGCGAACCTGTACCCTGTAAGTTATTGACCCGGATTGTACCTGACCTTGCTGTTTTCTCCTATTCTAACCCTTGCTTTGCCTGACCTCTCTCCTGGATGCCCCCTATTAGATTTGACCTGCTGTTGCTGACCTGGTGTGTGACCCGACCATTCTCTGCCCGCTGCCTTGTACCTTACCGTCCTCTCTGTTACCGACCCGGCCCGTCTGACCTTGCTCATCCATCCGCCCATCCCTCGCAGTGAGGTCTTCTGACCTCCTCATATCAGACTCTTTCCCGTGGGAGCCCTTGGCGCATACCACTACCACTGACGGACACACCCAGTAGCCACGACCTGGTCACGGGGGGCTCCAAGTCCATCCCCACCATCAGGGGCCCTGGTGAACAAGCACCCTGGGACTTAGACTCCGTGCGCTGGGGACGCCTATTCAGTGGAGTGCTAGTGGTACCGCCGGGCTGTCCCTTACAGTACCAGAAGGCCATGACTGAGTCTAGAGGAGGGCCCTCACCGCTTGAGGAGATCTGCAGGCACCTATCTAATTGGACACAGGCCGTATCGGCCCTGCAGGACAGATGTCTTCAGATTGAGAATCAGTTCCAGACCTGCACTATATCCGTTCCTGCCCCACAGGCCGCGGTCCCCGCACCCCCGGCCGTAGCAGCCCCTGTGCCAGCTTCTGGGGCTTCCGCACCACTCCCGGCGGCCGAACCCCGAGTACCCTTACCAGAACGTTTCCACGGGGACCGCACACGCTTCAGGTCGTTCCGTGAGTCCTGTCTTCTCTATTTTGAGTTACAACCACGGACCTTTGTGACTGAATCCGTGAAGGTGGGGTTCGTCATCTCCCTCCTGCAGGGTGAACCCCAAGACTGGGCCCACTGACTGCGGGGAAAAAATGACCCTCACCTTAGTTCGGTTGACAATTTTTTTGACGCAATGGCCATCCTATATGATGACCCACAGCGGGCAGCTTCTGCTGAAGCTACTTTGTACATGCTCCGGCAAGGCCATCGAGCGGCGGAGGAGTACGCGTCTGAGTTTAGGCGTTGGATGGGGGACACATGCTGGAACGAGTTTGCACTCCTGCATCAGTTCCGTATAGGCCTATCAGAAGGCCTGAAAGATGAGCTCGTCCGGGTGGAGGTGCCTGAGACTTTAGAGGACTTAATTGCGATGACCATTAAGATTGACCGTAGACTGCGGGAACGCAGGTTTGAGAGGTCCGGTCAGGGTCATGGAAATCCCTGGGGGTCATTTCAAGGTCCCAGTCAAGCAACTAGGCCAAACATCCTGTCAGGAATGGACTTGCCAGTAATGGTGGGACTCACCTGCCTTGTGGGCTGCAGTACCAGGGCTGGCCAGCGGGTGCTCCCAGCAATCAGAGACTCAACCCTGCAGCCAGCCAAACACCTGAAGCTGATTATGCAGGTGTATTTAAGGGATGGCCAGACCTGCAGTCTGCGCCTTGGTGTGTGTTTTCCATGGGCTCGTCCCTGGCCATCCTTCTGCCTGATCCTCTGTACCGTGCTGCCCGTGAGTTACTGAACCCGGCGTGTGACCTGACTACCCTTGTCTGCTGCTTGTACCGTGCCTGTCCCCACCGTTACTGACCCGGCTAGTCTGACCACGTCGCTCCTGACTGTCATCCATCCATCCCGCTCGGACCTGGACCTGCCAGCACTCTCTACCACAGCCGGACGCACTCAGGGGTCGCGACCTGGTTCCAGTCTGCACCAAGTCCATCCCCACCATCAGGGGCCCTGGTGAATAGCAGGCTGGGACGTAGACCCCGCGCCCTGAGGAAATCCGTGCTGTGGGCTTGGCCTGCCTGACCATTCCACCTCTCCAGCCCTGACTGCACTGTGTACCTATTGGTTTGTTTGTTTGTTTGCTCTGTGTACCTATTAGCTTAAGGTTAGCTTGTTTGCATTGTGTTTGTTTATTTGTGCAGCTGATAATAAATATTATTATTATAACATATCTGAAGCCTGCATTTCCCTGCGTCAGTCACATACCTCTGGTCACACCCTGGAGCCCTGACATTACACCAAGGCCAATCCTGACCAGAAGTGGCTGCACAGGGAAGCCATCTTGGCTTGTTGCTGGGAAGGATGGATCTTGATGAGGTTGTGTATTTGTCGCTGCTGGTTTTTGATGACAGAGAGTATGCTTATCAGGCTCTGTGGGAGTATACCCGGGATGAAGTGCTAGAATGTATACAGATCGCTCATGTTCTAGTAGATCAGGGCACAGAGTTCTCTGAGGTGCAACCTTTGATTCAGGTTTGTGTAGAGTTGGCTTTATCTGGTACCCCTGAAAGCAGGAATGACTTTTTGCCACCATTTAGTGCAGACCAGGTAGAGTCCCTGGTATGGTTATTAGAGGATGATGTGGATTGCTTCTTGGAACATTATGCTGCATGTTCACCACAGGTATTAAGGGATTGTATAAACGCAGTGCAGTCATTGACCAGACAGGCTTTGTGTAAGCTGAGGTTTGTTCAACCCATACTGCAGACATGGTCAGACTTGTTGCACCCAGCCTCAGTCAGCTTGCAACAACCCAGTCCTCCTTCTAATCTATTTCTTCAAAGCTCTATTCCTGCATTCCCAACAGCACCTCCAGTTACAGCCTAGTATACCCTGCTATCTACCGCATGTCAGTACCCTGTTCCCACTCGCTGCACCTATCCTGCCTTTAACCCTGTAAAGAAGCCCTCTATAGCAACTGTTCCCTCCCCTGTTCCATCCTCCAGCTCTTCTCTGTCTCCAGCTGCTCCATCCGTTTACAAACCTGCGCTTACTTACAGTGCTCCGGTAACTAAAACCAGGAAAAGGCGAAAGTTCTTTCCAACCAATACCATCCTGCCAGTATCCAAACCGGTCAGCCTCCCATCTGAGAACCTACCTTCCGTGGTGCAGCCTGGTGCCTCGGCGCCCACAATTCAGCCTGATGCCTCTACCCAGCATGATGTTTCTACCCAGCCTGATGAACTGATCCAGCCTGATGATTCCATTAGGCCAGTTGACTCGATGCCCGCTGTCGATGCAGACGATCCGGTACCTGATGACCCAGTGCCCGCTGTCATGCCTGGTGACCCGATGCCCGCTGTCGGGTCAGACGATCCAATGTCTGACCCAGTGCCCGCGGTCATGCCAGTTGACTCGGAGCCCACTGTCGTGCCTGGTGACTCGGTGCCCACTGCCTTGCCAGATGACGCGGTGCCCGCTGGCGAGCCAAATTACCTGATGCCTGGTGACCCAGTGCCCGCTGTCATGCCTGGTGACCCAATGCCCGCTGTCGAGCCAGACGATCCAATGCCAGATGACCCGGTGCCCGCTGTCGATCCAGACGATCCGGTACCTGATGACCTGGTGCCCGCTGTCGTGCCAATTGACTCAGAGCCCACTGTCGTGCCTGGTGACTCGGTGCCCACTGCCTTGCCAGATGACGCGGTGCCCGCTGTCGAGCCAAATGACCTGATACCTGGTGACCCGATGCCCGCTGTCGAGCCAGACGATCCAATGTCTGACCCAGTGCCCGTGGTCATGCCAGTTGACTCGGAACCCACTGTCGTGCCTGGTGACTCGGTGCCCACTGCCTTGCCAGATGACGCGGTGCCCGCTGGCGAGCCAAATGACCTGATGCCTGGTGACCCAATGCCCGCTGTCGAGCCAGACGATCCAATGTCTGACCCAGTGCCCGTGGTCATGCCAGTTGACTCGGAACCCACTGTCGTGCCTGGTGACTCGGTGCCCACTGCCTTGCCAGATGATGCGGTGCCCGCTGGCAAGTCAGATGGCCTGATGCCTGGTGACCCAATGCCCGTTGTCGTGCCTGATGACCCGGTGCCCGCCGCTCCGCCTGGGGGCCCGGCGCCCGATGCCCCCCTGGGGGCCCGATGCCTGTCGCTCCACCTGGGGGCCCGGTGCCCGCCGCCCCTCCTGGGGGCCCCGGCGCCCGCCGCCCCTCCTGGGGGCCCGGCGCCCGCCGCCCCTCCTGGGGGCCCAGCGCCCGCCGCCCCGCCTGGGGGCCCGATGCCTGTCGCTCCGCCTGGTGGTCCGGTGCCTGCTGCTCCACCAGGGAGCCCGGTGTGCCGCTGCCTGGAGTCCTGCCCGGTGTGCCGCTGCCTGGAGTCCTGCCCGGTGTGCCGCTGCCTGGAGTCCTGCCCGGTGTGCCGCTGCCCGGAGTCCTGCCCGATGTGCCAGTCTTTGATATCCCACCAGTTACCAGACCCGGGCGGTGGAACATGTTGCCCAGCTAGGACTGTTTGGAGCGTCCTGAGGCCGCTCCTTGAGGGGGGGGTACTGTCAGGAATGGACTTGCCAGTAATGGTGGGACTCACCTGCCTTGTGGGCTGCAGTACCAGGGCTGGCCAGCGGGGTGCTCCCAGCAATCAGAGACTCAACCCTGCAGCCAGCCAAACACCTGAAGCTGATTATGCAGGAGTATTTAAGGGATGGCCAGACCTGCAGTCTGCGCCTTGGTGTGTGTTTTCCATGGGCCCCTGTACCTTGTAAACCTGTGTTCCTGTTCCTGATTCCTGTGTTCCTGTAGTGCTTTCCTTGTTGCCGACCCTGCCTGTTCTGATCCATGCTGACATTCTCCTGCTCTGACCCCCGGCTCGTCCCTGACCATCCTTCTGCCTGATCCTCTGCACCGTGCTGCCCGTGAGTTACTGAACCCGCGTGTGACCTGACTACCCTTGTCTGCTGCTTGTACCGTGCCTGTCCCCACCGTTACTGACCCGGCTAGTCTGACCACATCGCTCCTGACTGTCATCCATGCATCCATCCCGCTCGGACCTGGACCTGCCAGCACTCTCTACCACAGCCGGACGCACTCAGGGGTCGCGCGACCTGGTTCCAGTCTGCATCAAGTCCATCCCCACCATCAGGGGGCCCTTGTGAATAGCAGGCTGGGACGTAGACCCCGCGCCCTGAGGAAATCCGTGCTGTGGGCTTGGCCTGCCTGACCATTCCACCTCTCCAGCCCTGACTGCACTGTGTACCTATTGGTTTGTTTGTTTGCTCTGTGTACCTATTAGCTTAAGGTTAGCTTGTTTGCATTGTGTTTGTTTATTTGTGCAGCTGATAATAAATATTATTATTATAACATATCTGAAGCCTGCGTTTCCCTGCGTCAGTTCACATACCTCTGGTCATACCCTGGAGCCCTGACACATCCAGAACCGGCCACCTGGAGATATCCCTGAACCCATGCAACTCGGCCTGGCACGGCCTAAACTATCTCCAGAGGACCACCAGCGCAGACGATCCCAGAACCTGTGCCTCTACTGCGGTGAAGCTGGTCATATGGTACGATCCTGCCCGCAGAAACTGAGTAAGTGCACCTCTTCTTGTCCATTGGCAATGTTAGTCCATCCCAATACTTAGTGGTGCCCCTTTCCTTTCACCTTCCAGAAAGGACCGTGGAAGTATCGGCCATAGTTGATTCGGGGGCATGCAGCTGCTTCTTGGACATTAATTTTGCTCACCAGCAGGGTATTCCCCTCCAATTGAAACAGAAGGGGTTCAATATTTATTTGGCCGACGGTTCCCGGATAAAATCGGGGGTAGTGAACCAGGGAAACCCCCTCCATCGCCACTGTCATTGCCGGCCAGCACCAGGAACTCCTCCGCCTGGATGCTATAGCTTCACCCCTTTTCCCAGTCATTTTGGGGCTCCCATAGTTACGGGCCCATAACCCCCAAATTGACTGGGAGACCGGAGTAATCTCGTTCCCTTCCCCATACTGTCGGGTATACTGCCGCACTTCGGGCCCGGGGGGTCCCCCCAAATCCTCCTGTGCTCTGAGGGGGAAGCCAAATTAAAACAAGTAATCCCGGCAGCCTACCATGAGTTTCTGGATGTGTTCAGCAAATGGGGAGCCGATACTCTACCCCCCCACCGCCCATATGACTGTCCCGTTGACCTGTTACCCGGTTCAGAAATTCCTTTTGGGAGAATCTTCCCCCTTTCGGAGCTCGAATTGGGGCCCTGAAGGAATATATCGAGGACAGCCTCCAGAAGGGGGTTCATCCGCCCTTCCACTTCACCGGCGGGGGCGGGAATTTTATTTGTTGAAAAGAAGGACAAAACCTTAAGGCCGTGTATGGATTACCGGGGAGTTGAACAGGGTCACGATAAAGAACCGTTACCCACTGCCGTTAGTACCGGAGTTATTCCAAAGTTTAAAAGCAGCAGTGGTTTTTACAAAGCTGGATTTAAGGGGAGCGTACAACTTGGTTCGCATAAGGGAGGGGGACGAGTGGAAGGCGGCATTCCGCACCCGTTTCGGCCACTTTGAATATTTGGTCATGCCGTTCGGGTTGTGCAATTCTCCGGCCACTTTTCAACACTTTGTGAATGATATTTTTAGGGACTTCCTGGATGTCTTTGTTATCGTCTATTTAGACGACATTTTGATTTTCTCCCCTTCTTTGGGGGAACACAGAATACATGTAGCGAGGGTATTGGGGCGACTGCGGCAGCATGGGTTGTACGCCAAGGCAGAGAAATGTTGTTGTTTCGAACAATCCAGCATTACTTTCTTGGGCCTGATTATCTCCACCGCGGGGGTCGCGATGGATCCTCAGAAAGTCGCTGCAATACTGGATTGGCCTGAACCCACGGACAGGAAAGGCGTCCAACGATTTATCGGTTTTGCAAATTTTTACCAGAAGTTCATCAAGAACTTCTCGGGTCTGGTCTCCCCCATTACTCAGCTAACCAAGCTGGGAACCCGGTTCAGATGGACACCAGAGGCTCAGGAAGCTTTTGAAGCCTTGAAGAAGCTGTTCACCTCGGCACCCATTTTGGGTCACCCAGACGCCGCCCTGCCCTACATTTTGGAGGTGGATGCATCGGAGAATGCAGTAGGTTCCATCCTTTCCCAGCGGAAAGGCACCGAGGAATTGCTCCATCCTGTAGCATTCTTCTCACGGAAGCTTACCCCAGCGGAGAGGAACTATGATATCGGTGATCGAGAACTACTGGCGATCAAAATGGCGTTAGAGAAATGGAGGTACCTGCTGGAAGGCGCTGTGCACCCCATCTTAATCTTTACTGACCACAAAAACCTGGAATATCTGAGAACCGCCAAGCGTCTACGCCCGCGACAGGCAAGATGGGCACTATTCTTTTCAAGATTCAACTTCCACATCACGTACCGGCCTGGATCAAAGAACACTAAGCCAGATGCATTATCACATATGTACGAGGACGCCAAGGAGATCCCAGTGCCGACGACACCATCCTGTCCTCGGGTAACTTCTTGGCCCTTCAGTCGGACCTTCGTTCCAAGATAATGAAGGCATCCACAACCGTCTCTACCCCAGTTGGAGGGCCCCTCCAGAACAAGGGGGGACTCCTATGGAGGGAAGATCGGATTGTGGTGCCGGAGGAAGCCCGAACCCTGGTCTTGGGGCATTGCCATGACCACCCGATGGCGGGGCACTTTGGCCCAGAAAAGACCCTGGAACTTCTCCGACGCTCCTTCTGGTGGCCGGACATGGCTAAAGATTGTAAGGGCTATGTAAGGTCCTGTATCACCTACCAGAAGAACAAGCCATCAAGAAACAAAGTTTGGGGTCTGCTGCGACCCTTACCGATTCCTGAACGACCTTGGCAAAAAGATCTCGTTAGACTTTATAGTCGAGCTTCCGCCATCGCTAGACCGCACGGCAATCCTGGTGGTCGTGGACCGCTTGTCTAAGATGAAGAAAACCCCCTCGGCAGCCGAGACTGCGCGAGTCTTCATTCGTGAGGTGGTAAGGCTGCATGGGGTCCCCGAAGACATTGTCTCGGACCGGGGGGTCCAGTTCACGTCAAGATTTTGGAGAGCACTGTGCAAAGCCCTGGACATCAAATTGTCCCTTTCCTCTGCGTTCCACCCTCAAACTAACGGTCAAACCGAAAGGACCAATCAGACCCTGGAGCAAAACTTACGATGCTACACTTCGTTTACTCAAGATGACTGGATGCCACTTCTACCCCTAGCGGAATTCGCGTACAACAAACGCTCGCCATTCAGCGACGGGACAGTCCCCGTACTTTGCCAACTATGGTTTTCACCCCGTCTTCCTCCCGGATTTGGTCTCGGAATGCCCAGTACCAGCAACGCAAGATGTGGTAACGTTTTTCTCCACGAACAATAGGAAGCTTCAAGAGGCCATCAGTCGGGCCCAGGAAGACTACAGGAAGGCATTCAACAGGAAACAGAGGGGGAGATCTGGTGTTGCGGCCTGGGGAGAAGGTTTGGCTAGCGACGTCCAATTTAAAGATGCTTTGCCCGTCGAAGAAATTGGGCCCAAATTTTATAGGCCCTTTTTGCATTAAACGGATGGTCAACAAAGTGGCCTACAACTCGTCCTTCCTGACACACTTAAGATCCACCCAGTCTTCCATGTGTCCCTGCTGAAGCCAGTGATCCCAGATGCCTTCCCTGACCGAGAATCTAGACCCCCGGAAGCCATAACGGTCGAGGGAGAAGAAGAATTTGAGGTAGAAACAATCCTGAAGTGCCGAAGGGGGGGGCCAGGCCCAATTCCTTATCAAATGGAAGGGCTATGGCCCTGAGGACAATTCTTGGGAACCAGCCCATAATGTCCATGCACCCAGACTTGTCCGGAGGTTTTTTTTCGCGATCACCGTCGTGGAGAGATCGGGTGGGCATCCGGAGGTTGCCCGTAGGGGGTGGGGCAATGTCAGGGATCTCCTCGATCCCCGCCGCGATTGTCCCGACGCAGGCGCAGTGCACCGCCCTGTGCAGGGACACGGGCACTAGGTCCGGGCCGGCCACGGCGGTCGAGTCGAGTTCGCGCATGCGCAGTAGAAGCCGCGGCCGCCTGCTGGGCACCAATGGCAGCGCACGGCGGGATATTTAAATGGCCCTGAGCTGTCATTCAGTGCCTTCTGGTCTTT